AAGCAAAATTCTTTTCCTTTCGATCACACTAATCGAGCATTTCATATAATCCGGTCAAAATTGAGTCTTATAAAGTAACAACAATCTTCCTTTAAGATTTTTCATTAAACAGATATTTTGTTATATTCTATTACTCTTATTCGTTCATCTCTTCGTCATCATCCTCATCATCATCATCATATTCGTCTTCTTCTTCTTCTTCTTCCTCTTCTCAGTATCCTTTACGAATAAACGTAGATGAATTACCGTTATTCGAGCTAATTATGACTACACTGCCGGTTAAGACATGCACATATAACTTCAATAGAAAATAATATACAAATATCATTTCTATTACTATTCAAATATAAATTCATATAAATATATAAATATATTTCAATTTAAATCATACCCCAAAAATACTCTCATTTAATTATAAGCAAATACTTAATGCATTTTTTTAATTAGGCTTATCAGATAGGAAAATTATTTTAAAATATCTAAATATTGTATAATATTTTTTCTCTGTTCATAAAAGAAAATTCTTTTTAACGATAATTCATCGATTAATCTTACCAGCAAGAAATACGTCATTAAACGAATAGATACATCTAAAACACTTTTTATTAAACTTATCTTAGGAAAATGACGGGAAATACGACGACAACTACTATGACTACGACGACGACGACGAATAGATCCTAGATAACCTTTGATCTTACACGGTGAATGTTACGGGTTACATCGATAGGTTTGGAATTTTAATTTCCTACCCAGTTTGACTGTACCCATGCGTGATAAGCCAATTATAATAGTGATATAATATTGTCAATAAAAAATAGGAAGAAGAAGAAGAAGCCAAAAAAAAAAAGAGAGAAAAAAGAGGAGCTCAAAAGGAAATAATTTTACAAATATATCTTACAAATATGTACGCGATAGAGAGTTACAAGGTTTCATTCCAGATCTCGCATATGCTTAAAGGGGTAGAAGTAGGAGGAAGAGAGGGGTATATAATTAAGAAACATTAAAAGTTTACAACCAGTCGGTTGTAAGTTGCACAGAGCTGTAAATGTAATTACCGGCTGAACCTAACCGAGCTGTTCGTGCTCGCACAATCGCTCTATCTATCTTTATCTCTTTCTTGTTCTCTCTTTCTCTCTCTCTCTCTTTCTATTTCTATTTCTATCTTTCTTTCTCTCCCCCGCCCCCTCCCCCATCCCCCTTCTTCCTATCCTATTCTAAGGTATTAACGATAAATATCCAACAGAGCTTGTCGCAGCGTATTACGTTTTCTATCTGTAATGTAAATTACCCGCAGATAGTGGAACAAAACGCGTGATCTACTTCGTGTGCAGACATTGTTAAAATGTATTTAAGTATCGTACGTATATATGTAAGTACATACATTAGGGTGGTCATTACTCTCGATCTAATTGAATACAACCCCCCACATTTCGACTGGTAATAAATACAAAAATGAAATAATAAAATGTCGGGATATTTTTTATATGTGAAGTTGAAAAGATGTTTGTTTCTTTTTATTGATCATTTTGGAAGATTGGAAGAAAAATAATTTGATATGAAAAAAAAGGGTAATACGATTAAATGTGATTATAGAAGTAAATTTGTTTTTTTCTTATTCGTTGCTAATTTCGAGAAAATAATACTATCTGTGAAAGTATTTAAAAATCTTAAAATTATTTAAATATAATAAAATAAAGAATGACGAAATTTTTTATATTCGATTTGAATCACATAAAAAATAACACTAAATACACATAAAAAAAATCTACATATATATGAACGATAAACGAGTCATTTGTATATGTTCCTTTACAAGATGAACTAGTAAACAAGCGGTTGTAATGCTAAAGATTTTGAAGAAATGATAAACGAGTCATTTCTAACACATAACAATGTAGAAATAATAAATTGATCATTCTTATTGGAAAATGTTTGTTTTATTACAAGATAATTTGTACTTATACGATGAAAAAAAAAAAAAGAAAAATATATAGAATAAATTGTTATATTTTTCACGAGGAGAGGGTAATTGTATAAAAAATTATGAAAAACAAAGTACTATAAACAAAGGAGGATGTGGAGCAAACGAGTGCCAAGAATAAAGGGAAAAAACTCGCATAGTGTTCTTTGGTAGGGACGAGCCGCGTCGAAAGAAAGTGACCGACGAGCATATAATATCTGCTACCGTGTACAAAAAGCGGTTGCCGACAGGTTTTCGAAGCCAGTAGCCAGAGTGTTCTCGCTCGATGAGACGTACAATGAGAAACGACATGGTGGGACCACCTCTCACCAAGAGATTAATAACGTTACGAGTAAACGTCCTCGGGTTTGCTCGACATTTTCGTGAAACCTTCAAAAGTCAATAGAAAAAGAAAAGAAAAAACCAGAGTATCTCAATGAGACAAAAAATTTATATATTATAAAAAAAAAGCTATTCACAAAGCCGCAAACTAAAGGTGATCACGAAGTGACGAAAAAAAAAAAAACATAATGTAGCACAAAGTGTCGAAAAATTATTTTCGATCAATTTTTTTCATGTTTTCTCATAATTTTGATAATAAAATTCGATTAACTATCTTACTTGTTCTTTTATCATTAATGTAAAAACGGTGTCGTCAAAAGGGTACTGATCGATAATAAAAAGATGGTAAATTATAGAGAAAGAGTAAGAGAGAGAGAGAGAGAGAGAGACAAGTAACCGGCGCCTTCTATTTTTTTCTTTGACATCCTTTTTTTTTATAAACAAGCTTGGTGTCCTTTGAAGAGATCTTGGACGCTGAAAAATGTGCAACGATAATGAAGATAATGTACGATATGCTACAAGGAGATGAGAGAGAACCGCTATTCGTCATATCTCAACGCCTACACATAAAATACCTAGATATATATACGCGTTTGAAGGATACTAATGTGTAAAAAAAACGATAGGAGTTTTATTGTTCGTTAATAAATAAGAATAAATACGTAGACAAATTTCATGATTCTAAACGAAGAGACAAAAGAAGAGAATTTCAATGAATTGTGACTCTAGTATGTACTAGAATAATAAATATATGTACATATACTAAGCCGTACTATTATACATGCAACTTTGGAGACTTCAATTCTCGAAATTTCAAATAAGAAAGACTTCTTTATGTATTCCTGAACGAATCCTTGGTATTTCGGTCTAAACATTCAAGCCAATTTTAAATCTGGATTGCGTCAAAGGAAACACTTGTACTTACTTGTTGTTACATACATATCTATATATATACATATATATGTTACTTTACGTTCCTTTACGTCTTTATTGGTACTCTCTGCTCGTACTTGTTTTAGAAATGTCTTGCAAAAAACCGTATAGGTGCAACATGTCCGCGTGTGTGAAGTATAAGTAAGTATATACGTATGTGTGCTCACTTGTAAAGCTGTCTAACATTTCATGGGAAATTGCAGCCCTGGTTGCAAATGACGGTAAGAAGGATGTAGACGTTTAACGTGCTCCACGACTGTTAATTATGACGTAGAAATTTTCGGTATTACGAAAGTCGTATTCTTTTTTTTTTTCATGAATAGAACTAGATAAATATATATATAGATAATAAATAAATATATAGATATATATAAATAGGACAGTATATCGGACGTTTCGATTTTCTACAATCATTCTTGAGTACCGTACTACTCGTTATGGGGAAAAAAAAAAATAAAAATAAAAGGAGAAAAAAAAAGTAGGAAGGAAAGTGAAAGTATCGGGAGGAGGAAACCTTAACAATATTTCCACGTTTACCGAGATTGTCAAGGTTGCCAGATCGTTTGATTCTACCGTTAGAATAATTTCACGTGCCAGCATGACTCTTGAACCAACGGGAAAAAATGAATCATAGAAATCTTTAATAATAATAAACATGTTCCTTCATACTATTATAAATCGAAGAAAATCGAGAATAATAACAAGTGACTAACACGTTGAATAATCCGATAGAGGAAATAAATATCCCGTAAAATTACTTAATGTTATGATGTATAAAAAAGAAAAAAAATATTAAAAAGAAAAAACACCGTTGCAAACAACGTCATTCTTTAAAGTTAAATACCGCGTGGGCCCACCCGATGACCCAAATCGAATTTTCCAAGCTGTTGAAATAAAACATTATCACTATATTATATTCTTATTGGTAAAGTAACATTATAACTGATTAATTATTGAATAAATGCAATCTACTTCTTTCTCTATAGAACAATTTCAGATTCGTCATTTATTTTTTTTTTCCAAAAAGAAGAAGTATGATAACTAAATTCATGGGCCACGCTATTTGAATTAAAATTTATGTGAAAATAGTATTCAACGTGTTAAGGAAGTACTGTAGATCTCTCACGGATCTCCAGTTTGCTCATCTTTCTCTGGGATCGAGGCCTACGTCAAGGACTCTTTGTACAGGACATGCTTATTCTTTGTTCATATTTCTTATCTGTATGTGTGTGTGTGTTCCTCTATTTCTCTTTATTTCTTTTACTTTATTCTAAGTGTTGGTAAACGTGATGCAATCAAAGATGCCAACGATTGCAAAGAGGTTCGTTCCTACTTGGATCGTAGTAGCTTCGCGGATGTTACCTGCTAATATTCATCAAAGATCTCACTTGCGCATTCTTGTGATGTCTTCGGGTATTCGATGACGTCAGCCAAATCGGTAAATGCAAAGGATTCCTTTAATCCTATTGTTAGCTAAGCTCGGCATTAAACTTGTAAATGTTTTCTGTATAGATTCGTTTTCTGTCAACAGTCGATAAGAACGTAAACTTCTTTATCTAACTATGACAAAATTACATTTAAAGTTAAGGTGTTATCTGTATAATTTCATTTTATCTTATCTGAGTACTTTTACATATTAATATTGTACAATTAGTCACTCTTGAGATAATGTATTTAAATAGATCATAAATATAAAGATTTTATTTGTAATAAATAGTACAATATTATTATTATATTATTATCATGTATAAAATTAAAGAATTATTAAGATTGTCTTTCATACTCTTCTTTTTTACGAGTTTGAAAAATTCATTTTCTTTATAATCGTTTCATACATCTCACCATTTTAATCGAAGCACATTAATATAAATATACTTAATGTAAGCATACTATAATTAATATAACTATTGTCATTAACACAATTATTATAAAAATATTATTACCTATGTTGAACTAACATAAGTTACTAATAATAAGTAACTAACATTATCTAGGTAAAAGATTTATAAAAATATTTTTTCTTTTGTCATATATTAATTATAGCAAATATTATAAAATATTATCAGTAACACTATTCTTATTTCTCTTTGATGGTATAACTATTGGAACAATGTTCATATTGCTGATTTTATTTTTTTTAGAACGCTTACTTTTACTGTTATTACCTGACTTACCAAGTTCATTGTCAGTTTCTTCTTTTATGATGGTTACATTAGATCCAGAACTTTGAAGAATATCAGGAATACTTTGACGCTCTTGTTTTATTGAATTTTTTGATCTTACAGAACTGAAAATAGAAAAACTTTACTTTACTTATAACTTATTTATATTGAATTAATAAATATTAGAAATGATTAGAAGAATACTTACTTTCCTTCTATTTTTACATAATTGTTAGAAATAGTTTTATTATAAAACTCAATCACTTTTTGAAATGGATCTACGTAGTTACTTTCATCAATTTTAATCGCATGCGTATCAAGTTGATTTTCATTGAAAACTTTAGTCTCAATATTTTCTATTTAAAGAAAAGTATTTCAGTTGTAATGAAATATTATCGATAAGAAGAATTCTTCTCCATAATTATATTTCATAACATACTTCTTATTAATTCTGCTCCTTCTGCTTTATACTCCGCTATTTCTTGATCTTTCTTTTTAATCAAATCTAATAATATATTCTGTCTACGAATAAGTTCTATAGAAGATAAACATAATGGTTTTGTAATATTATCCCAATACTCTTCCGTTGTTCCTTTGGAAAAATTTATTACAAATTTGAATCGACCACCTTCAAAGTTTTTTAATAACTTTATATGATCTACGGATGGATTATCAGCATATTTAGGAATATTGGTCAACGTGTCTAACACAACTTCCATCAGTTCGCTGTCATCGATAATCAAAATGGGATTTAATTCCTGAAAATAGTCAAATAATAATTAATCTTCTATTAATATCATACATTATTTAAAGTATTCCTAATAATACCTTAGATCTGTTTAAAATATTTTCATCGGTCAAACATTCTGACCATATTTCTTTAAAATTGGAAAGTAAAATTTTCCAAGCGTTGTGTTCTTTAGTAACACAAATAATACAAGATTCATTATCAATAATAATTTCTTTCCAAACTTTACCTAAATCGTTTTGATTTAATAAATTTATAGCCATCTTATAAAAAATATGTTATATGTCACATTAAAACAAGCTCTGTTCAACATAACCTAACTTTTATCTGTACATTTGTAAATGAACGTTTGACATCACTTCAAAAAGATTATATAAACTGCATATATAACATAATAAATTAAATTTACATTTAATTAACAATAATTTAAAATAAATTAAAATTTAAGTAAAATTCACACGCGAATTAAATGAAACAATTCTTTCATATTGTCATCTGATATGAATACTGATCAGCTGTTTTCGAAGCATGCGCAAAAGTGAGGAAAATTTGAGTGAGTAATAGCGGGAGAAATTCATATTCAATTGAAGCTCGATTAATAATGAACAAATTATATGAATTTTTTATTTATCCTCTTAACGTTAATATACATATACACATAACCACCATGAACGTATAATATTCTATAATAATTTACGTTATAAAAAATAAAAAGCGATCAATTCTACTCCCCTCTCCACCTATATTCAAATATATTTCCTACCTATATCAAACCTATATTTCTCTACTCAAAACCTTTCACTTTTCGTTTTATTTAAAAATTTTTGATTCCTTCCAAGAAAAATTTCACTTTAAGAATTCTAAATTAGAATTATATTTATTAATAAATAAACTTGTAATAATATGATTACGTTTTTGCAACTTGTTGCATCATTATCTTCTCAAGTGCATATGTTATCTTTTTTCTAAATAAAAATGAAAAGATGAACTTTGGAATTCATGGAATATAAAAATGGATAGAAATGCATACATTCAAATTATGAATAATAAAAAGTTTAAAAATATTTTTCAATACCATATATATATATATATATATATATATATCGATTATATCAATAATTTATATTACTTAAATTATAATTTTGAAATTAACTTTGTTCACGTTTTAAAATTTGTATGTTAACCGTATGAAAATTAGTATCCTGTAAAAATCCATTGACTGAATTTTTCTTAGAATAATCGTTGTATTTTTCTTCTAATTCAGGACGACAACTTCTTCGATTTTTTCGTCTAACTTTTTCATTGATCTGTTTTAAAAAGAAGAAACATACTTATTAATTATCAATCTCGCGTAATTATCTCATTGATTATATTTTAATTGAATATACAACCATATGTTTAGAAATTTTTGGTGAAGATTTATTTTTTCTAATCTTCGTTCTTGATATTTGTTTCCAATTTGTCAAAGTAATCGAGTCTCGTGTATGAATATTTTCTTCATTATTTTCAATCGACTCAAATTTTCGACGTAATTTTCTTTTCGTTTCATTATCGATTAATTTATAATTTTTTCCTTGACTATTATTATTATTATTATTACTATTCGTCATTATATAATTATAAATGACTGACGAACTATCAGAATTCGAAGAACTTTTGATTTTATAATTACGTGTTTCGTTTGAGAATAATTTTCGTTGATTTTTCTCATCCTTCGTAATAAGTCGATTGATTGATTTGAATTCTTTACGTTTATCTATCTCGATATATCTAATATTTTTTATCAAGAAAATATAAAATATCTAAAATAAAATGAAAAAAAAAAATTGAATTATAATCAAAAATATCTAACCGGAAGAATCAAATGTATCCTTTCGATACAAGCATCGAATTTCAGCATCACTTTTCAATTTCAATTTGACACAACCTTCGTTAGTTTTCTTCTTATTTACAATTTTCTGTTCTTGCGATTTTATCTAAATGAATGTAGAATAATTAATATAATTATCGGAGTGAAATTTAATTCACTTACAATTTTATTTTCTACTTGTTCTTTCTTCTTACGATCTCTCAGTATCAAATTACGTATAATATCATTCGTGTAAGAACTAATTTTTTTCGTGATTTCTGTTAAATCATTGTATTCAGTTTTCAAACGTTTTACGAGATAATTTTCGACGATGGAATCTTTAGAAAAATTAGAAGATGATATTTTTTCGTTTAATAATGTACAAGATATTCCAATATCTTTTACTAGTACAGCATCCTGAGAACGTCCACCATTTCTATAACTTCTAAAAACAAATTATATTTTTTTAAATTATTAATTTAACATTTCAAAAATATTTACCTGTAGTATGGAAACCCATAACTTTCAAGAGGAAGACTAGTAGCAGAATTATTATTCGATTTACAAAATTCGTTTGTGAGAATCGAGCCGGAAGTGAAATCGGACGAATGATTTTGGTTAGTTGTTTTTTGCGTAGGATGATCACTTTTGTTGTTTTTTTTCTTCTTCATACGTAGATCTTTTCTCGAAGGTAAAAGGAAGTTCGAAGTATCACCAGATTCCATTTCGTTCTTGATCGTTCCCATCTTTAAAATGATATTTCGATATTACTTACTTGTATACGTGTTTTTCTATGCGGGCATCGAAATCACCGGTATTCACGATATCAACGAGAGTGTACACTTTAATTTTTTAATATCTAAAAAACCGGCATAAAATTTATTTATTCTTTTACATCCTTTTTATTATTATCATTATTGTCGATATTTAAATGATAAAATAAAATGTTAATTAATGAGTTAATTACAGATATACAAAACCCTCGTTCACCCATTAATGTAAAGCACAAACGATTATAATATTCAAATCTTGGACGTGATTCGTAGACAGCCATTACAAATAAACAGACAAATCTAAATCACAAGAGATTGAACGTTCAATTTGGAGAGTTAACAACAACCAAAGGAGGTTACAACATTTCGACATGACATATACGATAAATCAAATGAAACACGTTTCAACAGAAATTATCGATTTAATGTAAACACATTTTATCGATAATTACAATAATATCTAATCGTACTAATCGATTAAATATTAAATGTTTTTATAAATTAATAAATAATTAATCATTTATTTCTCTATATGAATTTATAATAATTAATTAAAACTAAATGGAAATTTCTCTTTACATTTATTTGAATTATTTTTGAATCGACAATTTTTCGTTCTTCATTTCAGGTAAGCATGATATTCTTAAATCCCACAATACCACAGCTACCTGTCCGCATTCGTGGTTCTTACTACCACTACGTCACCAAAGGTATAGTCTTTCCGTATATATTCTCTTATTTCCGATGATCTCTTTTAATAAGAGAAACGAACAAATGGAATACTATTGGAATAGATATCATAGCACATCTTTTAAAATATATATCCTATTCTGTACATTGATAATTAAACATTTAAACATTAATTAAATAGTAATTAACAATTCAGAGATCAATGAAAGAAGAAAGTAGAAAGAACTTTGTCCTCAGATGTAAGATTTATTTACTCGCGAAGTATGAAAGCAGGTATCACCATAGGCGTCGAATTATTATTCTTAAAATCATTATAAATTTATTTAATCAATACTTTAATTAACAATTTTATATTTAACCAAATAATTCGGCCAATATATTTATATTTTAGAAACTGATTAGATAAAGATTTCTAACTAAAGTGAAAAGCATAATATGGTTTAATTGTAAGTAATTTTTTAAAGTTTTAATCACCATTTTTAAATTAATTAAAATAATAACATACTGAACTATAATATTGTACAATACACAATCAGATACCATTTATATAAAAACAACATACATAAATTTATATAAAAATTATAGATCATCAAATAATTCAATTAATTTGTCAAAGTTCTAATAAAAATCCATTTCTATATAAATTATATCAACCAATGTTATAGAAATTTTGTACCTTTTTACTAATATACAATCATCGTCATTTTATTTTCTCCAAAATGAAAAAGAAATAGAAAATGAAAGAAACAAACAAATAAATAAATCGAAGTAAAACGTATAAAAGTAAGACGCCAATGCATAGAGAGAAGACAAGTAGAGAGATAGAGAAAGAAGATTCTTTCTACGCTTTCCATCGTTCTCTCCTTTCTCGAAGCATGATTATAATAATGGCGGCGCTGGCAGTCACCTTGGCCGGGCACGAGCAAGAAGGCGCACACAGTCGGCTTCACGAACGCGAGCCGTCTCGTTATACGTTTACGTGGCCGTGATAAAACGAATTTGAAAACAAAACAAAAAAAAAACAAAAAAAAATCAACTAGGACACATATATATATTTATATACAATATAATCAATTTAATGATATATTCCATATAAAAAAGAATGTGATTAAATATATGGTGTCCAACGAGAATACGAAACGAATATCAAAGTTGAGTAAACTTTGAACGATCGATATCTGTTCACCTTCATCGTCGTCATCATCATCATCATCATCATCGTCATTATTATTATTATTATTATTATTGTTATTATTTTCATCAGCATCATAATATCGACACAGTGAGAAAGAAAAAGATAGGAAGAAGAAGAGAGGAGTAGACAAATAAAAAATAGAAGAAAAGAAACGTTTTTTAAAGTGATTCATCGTACGATGACTACGATGGTCAAACGAGATAGATTGAAATCGAGGAAGATCTACGATCCAACGTATCAACGATTTGTCATCATCGATTTGTTGTATATCAAAAATTTGTCAAATTAAAAAGAGAGTGTGTATGTGTGTTTTAAGTGCGTACAGCTTGGTATCGATATTCGAATTAAGAGAAAGTTGACTACTCTGTTTTACTTACAGATTGAGTGATATTTTTTTTCTCTCGTCGTTGTTGTTGTTTTTTATTTCCATTGATTGAATTTATTTTCTTTTTTACGAACAATTTTTTATTCAAATATTTTTTTGGCGAGGATGGATGAAGGTGGGAGAGAAAGATTTTGTTTAGAAAATAGTTCGAAAAGTGAAGTGAAGTGTTACCTTCTTCGATGAACGTCGTAGACAGGAAGGATCAATTTAAAAAGGTCTCCGTTTATTTAACCTGACCGATATTGGATTTAGTCGAACGATATACGAGGTGGCATTGAATCGTTTGAATCGTTTTAAACCAATGTAGCGAAATGTTCAAACGGTGGAACATCATCGTTATGGCTGTTGGCCTCTTAATAGGTGTTGGTGAGTATTTTATTTTTTTGTTTTAATGAAATAAAAGAAACAGGAAATTACATATATAGCAAAATTTTGAAATGATCTTGTATATTACTTTCATAAATTATATTTAATTTCACAATATTCTGAGAAAATAATTATATAAGAAAATTATCTCTCTTAACTGAGATTAAAAAAAATATTACAATGACGTAACTATTCTCATTAACATAATCGTTCTGATAAATGGAATAAAAATTGAAAAAAAAGAAAGAAAAAAAGAGAGAAATTATTTTAAGAATAATTTCTTCTAATCTTTTCCATTGCTATGGAAATCTTCACGCTGTTTAAAGTATTTGTAAAAAACTATGATTAAAATTTACAACAAAACATTACGAATTCTTCTTATTCGAGTTTTAAGTAATTCGTTCTTTTTTTTTTTACAAATTAAATTTTATAGTTTAAAAATTGATATTACATAAAATATATTATAATATATGTTTTAATTTTTATAATTTAAAAATTTATATTATGAATGTACTATGAATTTATTTTTCTATTATCTATTCAAGTAGTATTTGTTAAAAAAAAAGATTAAAAATTATAATATATTTTATTTAATAATGTCGATGAAAAATGTTTGCTCGAATATAAGAAATTAGAAATTAAAAAGTAAATATAGTGGAACAAAGGAGTATTGTATAGTTGTGACACGATTACGAGAATAGTTGTTTAAAGCGTTGGCTGAGAATGCAAAAGAAGGTGAGTGTCTTCGTTAAGGCCCAATGTATAAAATATTCTTCGAAGGAAGAATATGCATGCTTCGAATGCTCCTCGTACGTTTCGTCGCATAGGATTCCTTCGATTCTTTCTCTTTTTTCGCGGAATTTCCAGGTCGAGAAAGAGAGAGAAAAAGAAAGAAAGAAGGAGATACATATACACAGAGAAAAAGAGAGAGAGAGAGAGAGGATAAGAAAAAAAGAGAGAAAGAAACACGTCAATCCTTTCCACGTACGTAGCCACGTCTAAGAAAAATGTACCGTTAAATAAATCGCGAGCTTGCACATTATATTACATTACATACATACATATGTGTTGCACTCATCGATCATTTTCTAATTTTTCCAATAATTATTATTATTATTATTGTTGAGAATCAAGGTTTTTCATTTTAATTATATAGATTACAAGTAATGTTGATGTTATATATATATATATAAATGTAATTTAAAATAATCCTTCAAACTGAGTTATGAAAATAATAAAAAAAAAACAAAACAAAAAATGTGCTTAATTATTAATTACAATAATTTTTTTATTTTCTATTAGAAATTTGCTTCTAACAAAAATAATTGAAATAATATTTAAGTGCAATTACGAAATAGTATTGCTAATATAAAAATATAATTAAAGTTAAGTTAAGTTAAATAAAATAATTTAGTTACGTAAAAAGAAACTCATGATCTCTTGTTTTTAAAAATAAAAAAAATAGAACAAATATATTAGAAGTGAACGTGAACTAGGAAAAAAAGAAGAAAAATATAAACTCTATCTGTTTTATCTTTTAATTTAGTATAAATCCTGATTAGTTACATCACATAAGTATTAGAACGATTTCTAAGCTTTGATAATAGAATAGAAAGGTGAAACAAATATACTATTGGTTGAAACTAAGGGATAGAGGACCGGTTCTGTTTAAAATTCGAATGACGCTTCGTTCAGACTTCCGTCTAAGGAGCCACCGACGTTGCGTCAGACATACTTGTGCTAAATTACGTCATTGCAAAACCTTTACACCTCTTCGAATCATCAAGAGTATATTCCCTTTTTTAAAACGTTCGTTATAATCGTCTTTAACGTAACAATTTCCTAAATAAGATTTCCACATTTTTATATTTAGGTCTCAATTAAAATCGTTCAACTTCAGAAATCTTGTTTTTTTGATAAACGTTTGATTATCCATTTTCTTGACAGTTGGTTAGAAACATCATTAATGACTTATTCGTTAAAGAGCTGAACCGTGTCAACCGTAGTACCGTTCACGATCGTTGCACCTTTTAATTGGAAGTTTTTTGTTTAAGGAAGTGCAGATAAAATCTGATAAAATCAATTGTGCAACATTGTTTCTAAATATTTGGGTCTTTTTACTTCCAAATACTTTCGTAGTTTCAAAATGATCTTAGTTCATTTTACGTATTATATTTTATTATAAATATTTATTCTTAATATTTTTTATTTTTTTTTTTTTAATATAAAAACAACGATCTGGTGTAGTCGGTTGAATTTATATTTTGTTATAGTTGTGTTGAAAAAAAAAAAAGTATTCTTTAAAAGAATAATAACAAAATAAGTAAAGGTTTATCCTTCGAGGTCGCAATTAAAGTAGCAGAAGTAACGAGATCGGAAACTGGCCAGACGAATTAACGTTGAAACCAGCCGCATAACCGGGTCGCCAGACACCGAGCAAGAACCCATACCTTATCTTCGAGCGATATCAAGGCTCAAGAACGAACTCTGCGAATGTACGACCTATATGGCTTTTATAATAGTTATGCGTTTTTTTGATTATATCAGTATATAAAAACAACTGCATTTAATTATTTTTCTATTAATCTAGAACAAATATATTATATATTAGGTGGTCCGGAAAGTCGTTTTGTTTTTTGCTGACGCAATCATGGCATTAGTTGATGCAAACCGACAAATAGTAACACATGAGATCGATGAGAGGTTAAATTTATCAAATTCAATTATTTATGACCATTTGAAAGGTTTAGGTTTAACCTCGAAGCAAAAATTATCTTCATTTTTACAAAAGAAAAACGAAACGACTTTCCGAACCACGTAATATATAAAAAAAAATATATATATATTTTTTTTTTGTTTTCTTTTGTAAATATATAGATACATCAATTTATAATATGGTATAAAAAAAAATTATAGATTTAAAAGAATAAATAATTAAATGTAAAAAATTAATTATATAAATATTTTCTAAAAAAAGTTTCTTAGTATTTTCGTATATGGATGCTCAATAAGGAGCTTTAAGCATGAATGACCTATATATAAATTTTATAATTATAATAATGTATTCTTTATAATTAGTATATAAATAAAAATAATATATTAAATATATATTTTGTAATTACGTAGATAGATAAATTTTTACTATAAAAATAAAAATTATAAAGAAAAATTTTGAAAATAATATATACGTATATATATATTTTTTTTCCTACTATTGAAATTAAAAAATTGAATTTTCCATTTCGTTATAAATATCTCAATCTTAAAAGAATTTTCGAGTCCAACGCATGAAAGTGAAGCGTCACGGTAAGGAATATTTAAGGTCCGACGGTGACCTCACCAAAGTGAAAGTTCTTTCCTTCGTTTCTCTGTAGCCATACAACGAGAGAGCAAAGCTAAAGTCAAAGTAAAAGAAACAAAACATCGACCTCTTTCGAGAATCGTTAAATTCGAGCTCCGATATTCCTGGAAGTTCTTCCATCTTTCTTTTCCCCCCCTCAACATCCTACAAATATATCTATATATATATATGCATAGTACATGCTTAGGAAAGTGAATTGTTTTTAAATCTATTAGTACTAAAAAAATAAATATTTAATACTATTTATTAAATTATATATAATATAATATAACACTTATAATAAATTATATATAATAATATAATAATAATATAATTAAATAAAAATTAAATATTATTTTGTTATTATTTCAAATTATATCTTGCTTAAACCAATTAATTAAATTTGTAATTTTTAGTAGTTTAACTTAAATGTTTATTACTTAAAAAAATCATATTTTACAAGATAAAAAAAGGGGTGGGAAGAAAAGGTAATTAAACATTTTTAAGTAGTAACAGCTTGGACAAAATTAATGCAATTTCAAATTTTACATTTCACTTTACATATTGACATTATTTTATTTTTGAAAATAAAAATTATTTCAGAGTTAACAAATATTAAAAAAGGAAGACACAACATGTGTATGTGTGTATACTATTATTATGAACATTTGACGTATATAATTATTATATTCGTGTAAAAACAAACTTTTATTTAAAAACGTATGATAATATGATATAAGAAAATTAAAAAAAAAAAAGTTCCTTTCTCTTTCGAATTTTTTTATTGAAATTTTTGTAATCTCTTTCATCGATTGAGAGAGTAGTAGAGAAAAGAGAGCTCGGATTCTTAAAGGAAAGGCCTGCACCTTCTCGAATCGAAATCTCCATGGGCACAGCAACGACAGAAATCGAGTAGTTCACTTTCAAATCCTGTTACGTCTTGCGTTACTTACGAAGCCAATGCACAACTACCATTCTCTTCGAGTCCTTCGACGAAAACCGCACCTGTCTTTCGAATAAACGAACGAACAAATGCACAAATGCATGAACGAACGAAGTTTAAATCGAATATACACGCAACATCTTTGTTAGATTTTAATCTGTCTCTTTTTTTTTATTTTCTTCTAATAAAAAAATGAAGAATTTTAATCGTTTTCAATACCGCGAGTCCTGTATCGATGTTTTAAAACGATTATTCGATACGGTTAATGCTTTTGAGACATGTTGAAAGCGAATCGAATGTTTATCAATGATCATACTTTGTTAATTTTTTTTTCAAATAACAAATTATGTGTTGATACAAACTTCAATGGATAATTTTTATATTTTATTTCACAATAATGTGATTTATTTCACGAAAATTGAATGAAATATTTAAACAAAATTTTTTGTTTGTTCTTTTATTTTTATTTTCGACGTTTGACAACGATTTATTATTGATTTTTTATTAAATAATTATTTATAAATTATAATAAAAAATATAATTAAATTAAAATATGATATTTAATATATAATTATTTATAAATTATAATAAAAAATATAACTAAATTAAAATATGATATTTAATATATAATTATTTATAAATTATAATAAAAAATATAATTAAATTAAAATATAATATTTTTATTTTGAAAACGTTTAAATCTAATCGAATATTATTTATTATTATTTTAGTATTTTTGATAATTATTTATATCCAATATTATTTATTGATTGAATTTCAAATCTTATAACTTCGTATAGTATTTTTCAATTTATACTAACGCAATAGGAGTAAACAATCGAATAAAAATGATATTTCAACAATTTCATATGTTTTTTTCTTTAATGATTCGATAAAAAGTGAACACAGCACGTGCCGATTCGATTTAATCTTACATTATCTGTTCTCTTTGGTCCATCATTTCCTGTGGCCTTGCAAAAAGATATTTTGTCATTTTCGATTCAACGAAGCTCTCGCTTCGTGTAAAACCGGTTTTGAAGTCTTGTATCTTAAACATAAATCAAACTAGCCAACACAGCGGATGGACTGACTTTCTAGCTATTAGTGGCAGCTGCTGCTTACCTTCTGGCTAGATCTTTACAAACAACCTATACACACTCTTCCTAAACGCAAAACTTAAAGAGATTATTTTTCCTAATTGAATAACTAACGAAATATATCAAAAAAAAAAGAAGAAAAAAAAGAAAAATCAAAGATATTAATCAAAAATCGTTAATTACAATAGGTGTATTATTTTTTTAAATTTATATTTATTTAATAAATAATTAATTAAACCAACCTGTCAATTAACAAACAAATAAAATATATACTTCGTGATTAGAAAAATTAATAAACTACAAATTAATATTTTAACTTTTAATTATTTTCGTGGTATTTAAATATTATTATTATTATTTAATAAATATTTAATTTTTTATTTATTAATTATATATATATATATAATATTTTTTCTATTATTTTTAATAATAATTGTATATATATAATATTTTTTATATTATTAAATATAATTATAAAATGTTTTATATTACATACTTCTAATTATAATTATAATATTTAAAAAGGAAACAAAAATATTTATATGTAAAAAAAAAAGTAAATAAAATATTTTAATGTATTATAAAAATATTAATAAATAAAAATTAATTTATAAATAAATTAAATATTTTACTATATTATAAAAATATTTGTAATACAGTATCCTCTAATGTGAGATATCACAAATTTACCGTGCGAATAAAAGAGATGAATATATCCAAGAAACAGCAGACGTGAAGCACAGACGAGCCAACGGAAAAGAAAAAAAAGAAAAAGAAAAGAAAAAAAGCATATAAGCTCTCGTAGTGTCAGTTGAGCCGTTCGGTCGCACTTTCATCGTCCCACTTTCTCTCCATGCTGTTCTTCCAAACGCATTGGTGTTAACCGACGCACGAACATAACCGTATGGCTTTAACATATTCTTCTTATTTTTCCATTTTCAAAAGAGAACGAATAAATAAAATAACGTACTCGGATAATACGATCGACCTTGCCATCATTTTCTTTCTCTTTCTCTCTCTCTCTCTCTCTATTTCTCTTATATCATCATAATAATATTAATATTAATTATAATAATAATACAGCTTCATCTAATAGAAAATTAATAACTTATATATATATATAAATAATATATATATATAAATAATATATATATATATATAAATATTATTTTAAATGAAAATAAAACAAAATTCGTGCCTTTTATTTTTTGCGAGGGGGTAGGTAAGGGAAGGGATGATTTATTTCGAAATTGAAGAGAAAACGTTGAACGTTCATAAAGCACGAACGATCATTATACCGTTTCCCTATTGCGGTTTTAAAAATTATTACAATGCGTAGCAGGATCGTCTCTAACAATAAGTGTCATCCAGTTGGTGGGTTGTATTATTCGTAGTTGCATTTAGTTTTTTTTAGTAGTTTACGTTTTGTTTTGTTTCGTTCTCGTAGCAGCAGCCATTAGGTTTTAACCACGAGACTTCTTTTTCTTCTTCTTCTTATTTTATTCATCTTTATTTCGAGCACTCTCTCAAATGCGGTGCATAATAGCTGGTAGCAAAGTCACTGCACCGTGAGAATACAGTTACACGCTATTCTCATGAATAATAGTCGTGATTACTATTTTTAAATAAGGCGGCACATGGCTCCTGAGAGCAACAGCAGATGAATAAGTAAGAATAAGAGACACAGAAGAAATTATAATAAAGGATAATAGGAACAAGATAACAACAAACTGTCTCGCGAATCTTTCAGATTATTATTTCATTTTATTTCAAATTATTATATTATCTTAAGAACACCCGCAATGTTTGTTTTAAACAAAACGTTTAGATATAATTTTCTTTTTGGTTAATTATATTATTTATATAAGAAATGTAATTGTTATTTGTCAACGATGAAAATTGTGATAATTAATATGCTAAGTGTGTGTGTATATATACGAGATAATTAATTTGTATTAAAATTAATTATTAAAATTATCTTGTCTTAAATGTTTCTGCTTGTAAATTATTACGAAATTTTTAAATGATTGTATTTATAAAAAGGAATGTAATTTTTATTGATCAAATATGAAAATTAAGGTTATTAATATGTGATTTTTTGTTTTTAAATACAAAATACTTTATAATTATTTTTTTTATTACTGTAATTTCACTTGGTGTCGATAATAAATTACGAATGTTACGAATAATTAAGATCGTTTAGGATTATTAATGGGTTTTAACAATCGTATAAATAATTCTCATGGAAATTAATGAAAATTGCGAAATTGGAGACACGGAAGTATGCATTCATTTTATACGAAGAAACGACTTTCTCTTGTTCGCACGAAAACTCATCGGTATGCCTAACATCGAATGTTGTTTCCCGTTGCGCCTTTTTAAACACAATAAGTTCTACCATAATCGGTTATAAAGACTATATTGAAAGATAAAGAGATAATGACGATGATGAAACTCCTTCTACTCGATTAGAATGTTTAATTAGAATTGTCTCTTATGTATAAGTAATATTATGTCTCTATATGTATATACAATATGAATGAAGAATGTTATGTAAAATTACATAAAAATCCGTTACACATATTTTATCCTATTTCTTTAGTGTTAAATAAAATTTAATTATTTTTACAAGAATACAACTTTATTGGGAAATTTTTAAACGATTATTAATCAACCAATTTGTTATTTCAATTAAATAAAAACTATAATAATACTTTGTTTTTAAAAAATATTCTAACAAATAATTTTTTTATATTTGTATTCCAATGAAATCGAATATTTAAATTGTTCAACTTTCTATCGTATATCAAAATCATAAAATTGTTAATTCTAATCAGATGAAAAATACGAACAATTAGATATAGTTGAAACTTTCTAAAATAATCTAATCGTTTGATCTATTATTCGAGAGAATAATAATATTGAACGATAAATTTTCTAAAAGAACTCGTGAACTTTAAACTATCACAACCATAATCGATTACGAAATTTCACAGTAGTGATCGAAAAATAATAAATATATTTATGTAAAAGGAATTGAAAAGTAATGGAAGAGAAAAGAGTATAAAGGGTCACACTCTAATTGACGATACGTACTCAAAATAATAAAAAAAAAAAAGGAATGCATATCAAGGCCGATCTCTCGCAATGCATCCACCTTCTGCTCTCTCTAATTATAATAAAAATAAATTACTCGTAGCTAATTAACAACGTACGAAAGATAAAAAGAAACAAAGTTCTTTGCACCCATGCAAATCGTTTTCGAAATTATTCAAATGGATATATATATAAATAATTATTAAATATAATTTATATTATTAATTCATTATATTATTTATGACAATTCTTATAAATATATTAAAACTTAAAATAAATACAACAAAAATGGTATATGAATTTCATAAATAAATCACTGTCATATCATATAATTAATATGTTATATAAATAGAATAATTTTTTAAAATAATCAATTTATTTTTTAACGATACATTTAATAATTTGGATTGGTAATTAAATTATGATTTTTTTTTTTTACAGGATGTCAATTAAGCGAAAATACACCACCCTTTATGTATTTGGAAAGAAATTGGGTTCTTCCCGATTCGGAACCTGTTGGTAGTGTTGTAACTAGAGTACGTGCTGAGGATAATGAACAGGACGAATTAACCTATGGACTCGAACCACTTGGACATAATTACAATGGTGACGATAGTCCTCAACCACCACTGCCATTTTATATAGACAATAGTACTGGAACTGTTTATCTTAATGAAACTCTCAAAGGAAGAGTAAGTAATACAACCTTTTACCCTAATTCAAACACACATAAGTAAATTAACATCTTGCCAAATGTTAATAATACTTTCCTCCATGTTTTCAAAAAATTAATATTACAGAGATTTAATAATTATTAAAACATAAACAATATGAAATAATAATCAATGTAACAATTACATCTTCAACAACTCAGACATAGTCTGTTAAAAGGTCAAGATCGTCATTGAAGAACAAGCATAGAATAAATGCTATACTCGGTCGATAACACGAAACCATGTACCATCAAAGCAACAAATAATACATACATGAATCCATGCATACATGAATACATACACACACAGACACAATTCACATATAAAAAAGTATCGTAAGAGAACATCGACATAGATAACTTGAACGTTTGTTTTGCGAGCATTGAAAACGTAACACGAGCCACATATGGTCCTGATGTCGAGAAAGAAAGAGAGAGAGAGAGAGATACAAAGATTGAACTTCTTGTTTCTTCTTTCCAGGGAGGACAGAACCTGTTCCTTTACGTGACCGTTTCCGACGGTCAACTTACGGCAAAGGCCGAGGTTTACGTTAACATTAGAAGTACATCAGCACCTAGCGGTGGACACACCTGGTAAACACATTATTATTATTATTCATTTATTCAAGTAACAAATAAATAGATTCAACACTATAATCTAAGGAAAAAAAATGATGATTATTTTCTTCTTTTATTACGATTATATCATAATACCGATGGAAACACAACTCGTTCAAAGTTGATCACGAACAACGAGTACCCACAAGTTTTTATCCTATGTACTTTCCTCGTATTATTTATTTTTTTCTTTTTTTTGAAAACGATCACAGTGTACATCGAAGAGGGTCGATCAACGGCAAACATGTTCATGAGACTTTCTCGATAAATCACGAAGAATCCCATGCTGTTACATTATTCATTATCGTTCATCGTGAAATCCATGAAAAGAACAAAAAAATAAGTGATCCCTTTAAATTCCATCAGGAATTACTTCATATATTTATTTTTGTTTTTATTTGGAACAGGACACCATTTCCAAATCAACATGGTTCAGGTGGACGAATCAGGCCACCGATAATACCGATTCATAATTTACCATCATATCCAAGACCATCTATACCTCATCAACAAGCATCAATAAATTCACCGTCTACTTCAACGACCGGTTCGAAAACAACGAAATTACAACTATCGGAAGGTGGCAAATCTGCTAGAGAAGAAAATCCTTTGAAGTCACCTAAATTGTCGCAAGATTTTATCGATAGCAATGAAATTGAAGTAGCAACGTTAAGTTCCAAGGTTGCACCTAAGGAAGCATTGCCTTCAAACGAGATCTTGATGACTTTGTTACCGATCGGAGCGGTTTTTGTTCTTGTTCTTGGTCTTGGTGTTAGTGCATGGTCTTGCAGGAGTAAAATGTGTGCCAGCAAAAAGTCCAAGGAAGATACGGTAAATTTGATACTCCTTGTAATTTCATATTCGATTAAAAATATCATATATGTATAATGTTTTATTTTATTCTGATCAAGTTTAATCATATTACAATATCAATCTGTTTTATAATTTATTAGAAATGTATACTGCGTTATACTGATATATATATCATTGTGTAAAGGTACGGATAAATTATTGAGTCATTTTATTCGTAGGTCATAAGTGTGAATCATTGATAATTGCATAATTTCTACATGCATCAGAAATTATTACCATTCTTTCTAACAATCACTATAGTATTATAATATGCTATAAATTAATTTATAGACATATTGAACAACCAATGCATCATTTTATTCGTAGATAGTAATTTTCTTATATATATATAATTGCATTATTATACACATCAATACTAATATATAAATAATATAAAAATAAAATTACTATTTACTCGAGGTCAAAATTCTATTGGTATTATAATTAATATATTAGTATTATATATTATAATATATTATAATAATATAAAAATATAATACAATAATATAATTATAATATAATAATATAATATAGTATAATAATATAATATTAATATATAAAATAT